CTATTGCACTTTAGGATTTGTAAAACAGAATTCATCTTTATCACTCCCACCCTTTTCTCTGACCACTGCATCAAACTGTCTTGTCAAGGTCATAAATGTCATTCCTAGTTCCTGGTCCAATAGTCAAGTTCCTATCACCCTCTGCCTGTACCAGTATTTGTAAAGGATTCATTCACACATTTGATCACTCTCTTACTTAATATACTTTCTTCACACATCATCTTTCTTCTCTGCCTGAAGATACCTCCTTTTGTATTGATCTTAATATTGAAACACTTCGAGACCAGTTCTCAGATTAATCAGTCTATCAGTGCTCTCCTGGTGATCCGAGCAACCATTTAAAAATGAGTATAGGGGGTATGGTGCCGCCAACAGGTCAATCTGTACCTGTGAGGTGAATGCATCAGCAGCCTGATGGCACCGTCAGGCCTTCAGATACCCCCAAATTGCTGCTGTGCCTTGGCCAGACCCCAAAAACTTGGGGCAAAGTTTACCAAGAAAGTAAATGGCCAAAAGTTAGACATGTGGGAGACACACCCACAAACCACCTCCGGCTCAGCTATATAATTGGAGGCATGGCCTCTCTGGTTCCTGATCGAACTGCTTAACGGCTATGATCCCAGAGGCTCAGAAACAAATCTCAGAACCTAAAAGCTTTTGGCAGAAATGAATCTTGTTCCTGCAGTAGGTTACTGGGGCTGGGCCACTCCAGGTGGGAATAGGTTTCGTGCCTTATCCTGTTCCCCTTGGCGGCCTGGTGACCGTCATCCTCCAGAGGCCACAGGACAGTCAGGTTTGGGCCTGCAGTGACGAGACACGTGGGGCCTCACCAGATGGGAGTGGAACAGGCCCTTTCCTCCCCATCCCAGCGAGATCTCGAGTCGCCGCCTACAAACGGCCAGTCTGGCTCCTGATCAAGCTGATTAATGGCCATGACCCCAAAGACTCAGAAACAAATCTAGAAACTGAGTGGCTTTGGGCAGAAATGCATCTGGACCACATACACAACCATGGCTCCAGAGGCAAAAGGGTTTAATCCAGAGCCCGGCAGCTTGCGGCAGAAAAGTGAATGGACCATGCTTTAAACTACGGCGCCATGCCTCCCTGAGAGGGAAAGGGTGTTGCTCCCTTCTGCCTTTCTCACTCCCCTCCCCCCAGCAGCAAGGTGGCCGCCTCCTCAGAGCTTATTGGAAAGCCAGGTATGAGCTGGCGGTGATGGAGCAACTGCAGTCTCATGGGAAGAGGGGTGGTACCGGCTCGTCCTTCACGCCCTACTGAGGTCCAGAGTTACCCGCCACGAGCGGCTCTCCAGCACAACCATAACACCAGACGCACAGAAACCAATCTTTAAATTATCTGGCTCTTTGCAGAAATCCAAAATTGCGTGGCCGCAATAGCAGCCGCACAACATTATATGATTCTCATAACCAGCTATAGAAAACAAAGTATTTCACAATGCCTTTTCAGCAATTCTGATTGTTGGGGGGAAATTCTAAAGAATAATGGTGCATCTTTTGTTGAAATGAATGTAATCAATGTAGAGAAGAGTTAAGTAGAAATCATCAGCCTCACAGACATTGGGTAGGATGGGAGGGGGGTATATTGGGGTTCTTGGTGGTGAAATGTGAGTACTGGTGAAGGGAAAGGTGTTTGATCATTGTATGACTGAGACTTAAACCTGAAAGCTTAGTAACTTTTCCCACAGTGATTCAATAAATAAATATAAGACAATAAATAAATGAATAAATAAAACTATGAAAAAAATAAGGTGGAGTTCATGCCCAATTCAATCAGCTAATCAGTGGCTGAATAAATAGCAGTACTTCTACATAAAAAGAGTATATGTGCCAATATAAAACAATTTCAAGAAATATTGTTAAATAAAAATCGAATGAGATTAATATCCAAGAATAGCTGAGATCAGGGCCAGGAGGATTAGTCCATAGCTTAGAGGCCAGCCGGGCATTCTAGGGGAAAGGACAGCTCAGATAGAGAAGGCAGCACCAAATAAAGGGCGTTTGGAGGATCCTCCCAGGAGGGGAGATGCATGTTGAAAGTAGACTATGGACTGAACATGTTTGCCACTCAAAGCCTCTTTTGCAGACCACAACACCCAAAAGGAGAGAGAGAACAAAAGAGAATGCCCTGCCACAGAGGCAGGGTGGTATGGGGGGGATGGGGGTGGGAGGGATATTATCCATGGTGGTGGAAAATGGGCACTGGTGGAGGGATGGGTATTTTATCATTGTATAATCGAAACCCAAGCACAAAAAATTGTAAATCTACAACTGTACCTCATGGTGTTTCACTAATAAAAATTTTTTTAAATAAATAAAAAAAATAAAAATCGAAATATGGTAAGCTGCATGTGAATTCAAACAGAGTTGGGAATCCTGAAAACACAAGAACACAAAACTAATCTACTACTCTATAGTGTAAGGTGCAAAAGAAACCAGGAAATCAACATTAAAGATTTGAGAATATAATCACTCCACCTTCATTGTCAACCATAATTAACAATGTTTTTGTTAAATAGCTAAAGCCATTAAAAAGGCAAATCAGGCATAAGACATACCCTCCAGGATGTATAGATAGTTAATGAGGAAAGGGTAGATGAAAATAGTTATAAAATAAAAGGAAAAGATGTTACCAGAAAAAAGGGACAATTAGTAGTTTGTGATGCTTCCAAAAATAGATAAGATTTAAAAACTACTATGGAGTTGAGTTATATCTAATTTTACATTTACTCCGTGCTTTAAAATAACTTTCAGAATTTTCTCCATTACTTAACTGAAATTTCTGAGGTTTCTGTTCCTTAGCTATACTACTCCTTATGATCTCTATATTACAGTCAAAGGGGAAAAGCCTTTTTATTGAGATTCACTCTACCCAACAAATCTTAAGAACTTAATATAACATAACCAAAGATTATATTTACAGGAGAAAAATATTTTTATTTTAAAATTTGTGTGGAGGGACAGGGAAGTCTCTGTCTCTCTGGTAGGATTAGCAGAAAGCGGGTTTTTATTCTGAGTCATATGTGAATCTATCAATTGGTTCATAAACTGGAGAAAACAAAGTCTTATTAATAAAAGAGAGCAAAAAAGGGGAAAAAATTTTGCTTTATTCTATTTAAGAGGAAGAAATCAACAGTCATAACAGTCTCCAGGGAGAAATGTAGAGAAGTTACCCTTAAGTCAGTGGCTTAGTTGAAATCTAAATTCAGATCTGTTCGATTACAAAGCCCATACTCTAAGTATTACAGCCTGTTTCAAATAAAAATGCAAGTTCAAACTATTTATAAAGAAAGAAAAAGGGTAAATTAGAAGTAATTAATGTACTACTAATGAAGAAAGTATTTTTCTTATAAGAAAGAGGAGATAGTTGGTGAAGGAAGTACCCTGGAAGAACTAAACAAGCAAAAGACATCCAAAAATTGTATATAAAAAAAAAACACTAAAATAATGAAAACAAAAGGACAGAGAGACTGAATGATTCTCTTTTCACCTCAGAAAATACAGAACATTTACATAAAGTAAATTATCATTTCACTAATTTTTGTCTTCGGTGAAATGATAATTTAATTTTCTGTAGAAAAAAGATTTGTTACGCCCATTCCTACCACCCCCTCCCCCAACCACGCCCAATCTTGGTTTTGAACATCTTACTTAGTTTTGGAGAGGAGAAATTAAACCCAGGGCTAGATCACAGTTAGGTTACACATTCTGCTTTCTTGGCGTCTGACCTCCAATACCCCATGGCACCTAAAGACTCCCACACGCTTTCACTCCCATTTTAGAGATGCTCACCTGCTCCTACTCTCACCCTTTGCTGGAATCATTATGTCTCTTGGGACTAATCAGCATTAATATGTGTCCTAGAACCATTCAAACACCAGCTTTTCTGAAAATATTCCCATAGAATCAGATCAGAGAATGTTATTGGAGTTTTATCGGCAACCATTTGACATGAATATTCTATTGTAGATTTTGCCTTGTTCTTATAAATATATATTTATATTTTACTTTGCTTTTTAAAACTTTATTACAGCTAGATATTCATTAAATGTCATTGACTGCCTCATTGACTATCCAGCTTAATCAGAACTATCCAGAAAACAGATAAATGATGATGATAGATAGGCAGACAGATGAGAAATCACAGCTGTTAACCAAAATTAACACTTAGTTTAATGTGATCTTTTTTAATGTGGTGACAATATTGTTTCACAGTTGATTCACTATTACTTTGAGAACAATTCTGCTGCTAACAAAATGGACATTCTATACTTTTTCTCTCTTTTGTCCAAAAGGGTAGAGTGAACTAAATAAATATTTATAAATAACTAGACAAAATTGTGCAATCCTGCAATTTTATATTAACATTGTTACACGAAATATTTATGAGGTTGAATATTTACGTGAACATTAAAAATCTGGTTTGAAGTCTGCTTATTATAAGCAATACAATGTTTTAAATGTAATGGTTCCAATAGGTTTTTAAAGTACAGAATTTCTAAATGCATAAGAAGCTTTTTGTATATACTTATAGCTCTGGATAAATATAAATAAGAAAATTATTTGTGATAAGATATACTAAATATTTGATAACTTTAGAAATATTTATTGAGGAACATTCTAAAGAGAAATTCACATCCAGAGATGTAAAAAATATACAAATATATATAATACTGGATCAGATAGTTACCTCAATAAGCTAAGCACATGATTTGCATGCTGACGACCTGGATTCTTAGCATCGGATGGTCCCAAGCACCACCAAGAACACACCAAACACAAAATTTGGAATAGCCCCTGAGCATCCCTGGGTGTGCCCCCCCTAAAAAATGTTGCAACTACCAGGATATTCTCACTCTTTTCTGGGAAAAAAAAAACATATGTAGCTTTTTTTATTCTCTAACTAATAGTATGCTATTTTTCAGGCACCTTCCCTTCGGAAGAAATGCTGCATAACTTCCCATCATCTACAAAAATGGAACACAAGAGACTAAGTAACTGAATAAATGGCAGACTCCTTGTAAATGAGAAATATACAAGTCTAAGTAATTTTCAGCCAAAAGAAGGTAACCAACAATATCTTTATAGTGTAGATTGGAAAGGGGTAAGCATGAACATCACTAACTGTACCACAGAAGCCAGTGTGGCTGTGAGACCCAAGACTGTCACTGAGAAGATGCTGGTTTCCATGACTTTGGTCATCATCACCACGCTGACCATGTTGTTGAACTTGGCTGTGATCATGGCCATCTGCACCACCAAGAAGCTCCACCAGCCTGCCAACTACCTGATCTGTTCTCTGGCTGTGACAGACCTCCTGGTGGCTGTGCTTGTCATGCCCTTGAGCATCATGTACATTGTGATGGACAGCTGGAATTTAGGATACTTCATCTGTGAAGTGTGGCTTAGTGTGGACATGACCTGTTGCACCTGTTCCATCCTCCATCTTTGCGTGATTGCCCTGGACAGATACTGGGCCATCACCAATGCTATTGAGTATGCCAGAAAAAGAACTGCCAAACGGGCTGGTCTGATGGTCCTTACTGTCTGGACCATCTCCATCTTCATATCCATGCCCCCTCTTTTCTGGAGGAGCCACCGTCAACTCAGCCCACCCCCGAGTCAGTGCACTATCCAGCATGACCACGTCATCTACACCATTTATTCCACTCTTGGGGCATTTTATATCCCCTTGACATTGATACTGATTCTCTATTACCGGATTTATCACGCAGCCAAGAGTCTTTACCAAAAAAGGGGATCGAGCCGGCACTTAAGCAACAGAAGCACAGATAGCCAAAATTCCTTCGCAAGTTGTAAACTTACACAGACTTTTTGTGTGTCTGACTTCTCCACCTCAGATCCTACTACAGAATTTGAGAAGATGCACACCTCCATCAGGATCCCTCCCTTTGACAATGATCTAGATCATCCAGGAGAGCGCCAGCAAATTTCTAGTACCAGGGAGCGCAAAGCAGCACGCATCCTAGGACTGATTTTGGGTGCATTCATTTTGTCATGGCTGCCATTTTTCATCAAAGAGTTGATTGTTGGCCTGAGTATCTATACCGTGTCCTCCGAAGTGGCTGATTTTTTGACATGGCTTGGCTATGTAAATTCTCTGATCAACCCTCTACTGTACACAAGTTTTAATGAAGACTTTAAGCTGGCTTTTAAAAAGCTCATCAGGTGCCGAGAACATACGTAGGTTGTCAAATTTTAAAAAGCATTACTTTGAAGAGTCTTGTGAATGGACACGGGTAAGGGGTGCCACTTATTAATTCCTGAACATGTTTCAGGAGAGTTTTTAAGTACTTGTGGTCTGTTTTTGCTTGTTTGTGTTCTTCTGTTTTATTGAAGCTTGTTATTAGGTGTGCTGTTTTCTATCTCTGGTCTTACTTGTAGCATATCGTTTCAAATAAACATCAGTACAAAACAGAAATTTCACAGAAGTAATAATAGGTGAAAAAGTAGAATTTTTTAGCCATTTCAGGCAATCCTGAAGTGTGCCAGAATAAATCTTCATTTGCATAGTATCATCACTTATAAATCAAATAGCTGATAACTTGAGTGGCATTAAATCCGAGGTTAAAGTCCATATGCATATAAATTCCAACGGGAACTGCATGGTCACATAAAGCATTAAAAATAATGTCATTTACTGCTTGCCGACCAAAGCTAGAGTCATTTACTGTGACTAGATAGCTCATTCCTTTCAAGCATAAATAGTACAGCTGGCATGTTATTTTTAGTTCATGATCAAATAACTTTCCTCATTCTCTAAAAAGAATCTGGAATGAATGCACCAGTACTTTCATGGGTTTTTACTATTAATATTAAACATAAACAAATAAGAAATCATTGAAATTCACTTTGGTCAATTTGTTGTTCTATGACCTTACGGATTTTAAGCAATGTTCCAGCTAAATCTCACATACATTCTCACTCTCCTGGGATCAAAGTGAGAATCCTGGGACCAGAGAGATAGTACAGTGGGTAGAGCACTTGCCTTGCATGTGGTAGATCCAGGTTCATTCCCCAGCTTCCCATATGGTCCCCCAAGCCCTGCCAGGAGTCATCCCTGAGTGCAGAGCCAGAAGTTAGCTCTGAGAGCAGCCAGTTGTGCCCCATCAACAAAAAAAAAAAAGGTAAGAAAACAGTAAGAGTACATCTCAGATTTGGGAAATTTTAAATAAAATGAATGGGTTTCAGAGATCAAAGGTGGGACTTTATTATCTGAAGAACTTTGTTGGAGAAAGCTGCTCTTCAAATAACAAGTTGGGTGATTTGAAAGAAATTGGAACTTGAAAAATTTATCACAATAAATGCTAACAGGAAAAAAAACAAGTGTTTCCTAAAATTCCTGTGACTTTCATGCCACTCCACTCCTGGGGCTGGGAGGTGCTAAGGCTGACCTGTAGCCACACATTACATGGTCTGACCTAGATTAAGTGCCCTCACTCACCGTTAGATCAAGAACAGTCATCAAAATGACCACCTAAATTCTTACATAATCCTAAATAATCTTTTCTAAACCTTATTCCACAATTTACCCCCAATTCTTCACTCCACATGTCTCTCTCCCTTCTCTCACTCCCTCTCGCTCCCGCTCTCTCTCTCTCACTCCCTCCTTCACACTCCTCCCTTTCAGTTCTCCTTTAATCTCACTTATTAATTATTTAAGTCCCTTGGATGCTAGAACAAATTACCTCTCACCTTACTTTCCCATAAAACTGCTGCTTTATCTCTCCACTCTCCGCTGAGTTTCTCCAGTCATAAATTCACTCTGCATCAACTTCTTGCTGCCCACCCTTTGATATCTAAATATGTCCCTCTCAATTCTCCTAATACTGATCTTCTAAAGATGACTGGTGATTTGCAAATAGACAAATCTAGTGTCTTTTTCTCTTTTGTGTTCTGCTTTCTCATTCTCTCAATTAAAACAGCTATCTATCCATTTCTTATATCCGTGCTGTCTTTGGTACTTGATACTTCTGGTTCTCCAATTATCTCTTTATTCTTCATCTCCTCTTCTTTATCTTGGAGATTTGTTTTCATCTCCTGTCATTTCAAATTCCGTTCCAAATTCAGTCATTTTAACAATTAGCACCATGCTGTGGCTCTTAAATATGTGTTTCTAGTTTTGATAGCTCTCAAATTCCAGCTCTATTCATTATGCCAAAAGACACATCCCATTCTTTTGAATACTCTATCGATACCTCAGCCATTCTAAATCATTCTCCTGCATTTAAACTTTCATTCTCTCAGTCTAAAATAACAAAATTACTATGCTCTTTATTCTTCTTAGTTATCTATCTATGTGATTATCTCTTTGTGGGCTGGAGCGATAGCACAGCGGGTAGGGCGTTCGCCTTACAAGCGGCCAACATGGCCGACCCGAGTTCGATTCCTCCGCCCCTCTCGGAGAGCCCGGCAAGCTACCGAGAGTATTTGATATGCCAGACACAGTAACAACAAAGTCTCCAATGGAGACGTTACTGGGCCCGCTCGAGCAAATCGACGATCAACGGGAGGGCCTTTACCTTTTACCTTATCTCTTTGTAGTCTATGTCTCACCTCAAAATAGTCTTAATGTCTTACATTTAGTTTTTAAAAAGGTTTGCATATATCCTCCTCTTCTCCAATGATTTGGTCTTCCCACCTGGACAGTTTTTTTTTATCTGATTCACCTACCTCTGGACTCGTCCACCTGCACCACACACACACAGAGAGAGAGAGAGAGAGAGAGAGAGAGAGAGAGAGAGAGAGTCTTGTCAGCTATATCTTCCTAAAGTATTGGTTTACAAAGTGTCATCTCCAGAGCAACAGTATTAGCATCTTTTTGAAACTTGTTAAAATTGCTAAGCCTGGGACCCCCCTTAAGATCTATTGAATCCAAAATTCGAGTGGGGGAACCCATAGGTGTCTATATTAACCAACCCTTCAGTACACTGTGTGCATACTAGAGCTTTTAAATTGCTATCCTGAAGTATATCATCAAATTTTAATTGCAGCTCTCAAACTCTATTTCCTCATCCATGTTAAATAAACATTCACTAATATGTAATTCATGACACCTTCACTCTGAGACTTCAATTTTTCTTTACAGAATTACCTCACCACTTCTTACACACCACATGCTCCAGAAAAGTATGGATTTTTCTGTGTTATTTGAGTTCCCCCCAAAACTTGTTCCCACTGAAACCTGAAACCCTTGGCTTCATATACGTCTTCTACCAACCATTCATTGTGAAATCAAGTGTAATCTTTTAATAAAAGTCTTCTCGTGATTTTTTCCCTTGCCCGCCACTACAGAAGTCCTGTCTCCCAATTTTGTGCTCCCCTGAATATATATGTATATGTGTACATATATATATATATTCTATCTTGTAACACATTTGTTTATGTACTTTCATAACCTGCCCTAGTAGATTGTGAGCTCATTGAGAGCAGGGATTGTATCTGTTCATCTCTGTATCCCAGAGTCTCAACAATCCTTGTTAACATACAGCAGACATTCAATAAATGTTTGTTTATGTAAATGGATGTATTATGTCCTCTAAAAAATTAATGTGCCATCTCCTCTAATTGATAAAATTAAATTTTAAAAATACCATGATTTACAAACTTCTAAAATTCCATTCAATACTGACATCCATTTTTCCCAAAAACTTACTCTACCACTCCCAACTTTGGTCCAAAAAATGGCAAAAGTGATTTTATGTGGAAAAAATGCATTTCTCACTAAATATTAAGGAATTTTTTACTAACTACAACTTGGACTAAAACACCCTCAAGTGAAAGATATCCTCACCCCACTCCAAAATAATCTTTTAGACAAGGTAATTTCTTTTTTCTCACACATGACAGGAGTTGGGAGGGCAGCCCCAAGTGCTCCACAGTTATCTAGGGACTCTGATTCCTTCTAACTAATGACTGTGCCTGTACTTCAGAGCTTGACTTGTTTGTATAGTCAAAGTCAACTCACCATCATACACATTCAGATCAAAGAAAGGATGAGAGAAAAGAGTACCACACATAATTTTTATTCAGGAAATTCTACTTCTACGTGTGCTGTGTGAACAATAATTTGGTGACATGGCAATACCAAGTTTCAAGAAAGAATTAGAAAACAAATATTGAGCAAGGCATCCATGCACCTTGCTCAAAGAAAAAAGTAAAGGATGGACATAGGAGTACTGCACTGTCTGCCATAAGGGAAGAGCATTTTCCTGTGAGCGGCTCCATTATCACTGGGCTGCCCAGTTAGTGATTATCTAGGTAAAAACCGGTTGAAGTTTAAATAACAGGCATCTCAACTGAGATTGTACATATGCTAAAATGCCAATATTTGACAAGACTAGTAGTAATATTACATATATATAATGTAGTGTACATATAGATAATATGTAACAATGTACATATAGGTAATACCTATATGTAATAATGTACATACAGATAATATCTAGAAGTTATATGAACTATTCATTTACATTCCCATTTTCCTGCATATATCATCACTGAAACTTTCTAGCAATTATATCAGTTTTTAATTTTTTAAGTCTAAGTAAATTAAACACAAAAAGTAGATACATAATTTATTTTTACTTATATCTTTTCACTAATCCATTTCTAATTTATTAGACATATCAATTCCTCCACCCCTCTCGGAGAGCCCGGCAAGATACTGAGAGTATCTCGCCTGCATGGCAAAGCCTGGCAAGCTCCCCGTGATGTATTCAATATGCCAAACACAGTAACAACAAGTCTCACAATGGAGACGTTATTGGGCCCGCTCGAGCAAATCAATGAACAACAGGAGGACAGTGCAATGCTATCCTAATTAAGTTCAATCTTTCACAATCTCTACTCTAGCAAAGAAGAATTTCTATTTTGGGAGTATAAATAAAACTTGGTGAAAAGTTTATCTATTGTTTAATTTATTAATTTAATTACTAGTGAGAGCTGTTACTGACCATTATTTCAATTTAAATTAAAGTGAAATAGCAGTGTCTTCTGATAGTTTTTCCAGTACTAGCAACATCAGATTAAAAGTAACCCCTAGGGTTGATATTTTAATTATCTCCATTAATTAATGTATTTAGACTTCCTACTTCACATATTTTGTGAAAGAATTCTTGAGTATAAGACACTTATTTCTACATCTAGATGATACTTTGGTACAACTGGTGGATGAATCAGTTTTTAATGATTTTATTTGACCTCCTACACTTATAAGCATCAGTTTGCAAATTCTGAGAATTATGTACAAGCTAAGTTCAGAATAAGGTCCAACAACTCTTTACCTCACAAGTAATTTTAATTTTAAGTAACACATTGGTTTTGGTTTATTAATGTATGCTTTTTGTGTTCTCT